GAAGTCTTGCAAAGACTCTTGGTGCTCTTCTGGAGAAAGAGAGATGTGAAAGCAGAGAGACAAAGATCACAGAATTGCAGAATCATAGGGGTTGGAAGGGACCTCAGGAGATCATCTAGTCCAACCTCCCTGCCAAAGCAGGTTCCCTACTGCAGGTTGCACAGAAAAGCATCCAGGTGGGTTCTGAACACCTTCAGAGATGGAGACTTGACAGTCTCTCTGGGCAGCCTGTTCCACTGCTCCGTCACCCTCACAGTAGAGTAGTTTTTCCTTAAGTTTGTATGGAACTTCTGGTGTTCCAGATTTTGCCCATTGCCCCGGGCACTGGGCACCACTATGTGCAGGAGAAAAAAAATACGAGTGGCCTCTTAGAGTGTTACTGCTTGTTTTTTGTAGAGACATGGAGAAGTCAATTGTGGTGGAAATCAGCATAAAGAACTTGGGCAGGTGGTTTGCTTGTTTGTCTCAGTGAAGCATGGATCTGAGAATAGCAGGATTCGTTCAGAATTCATTTTGCAAGTTTGAAGTGGTTTTGCTTCAGCTACTGCTTCTTTCTGAGGACCTAAGCTGTAATTTGTTATCAATCAAAAAAAAATTGTGAAATCACTTATTTTTTGGGGAAACCACAGTGTTTCTAGGTCTTAGGAAACTCACTTTTAGAGACTTATCTGGAGACAGAAAAGCTTAGGAAGCATACTTGGAAAGGCCAGGAAAAAGGGACCATGATTTGAAACCTGCCCTGAGAAAAGGGAAGATGTAAGACTAAGATTTGGACTGAATACCAGTCTTCTGAAAGTCATCCAGAAGATTGTGGTAATGAGAGTTTTATGACATAAAAGTTGGATCCAAAAGATTTAATTGGTAATTTCTTCTTTCTGAAATTCTATTCAGTGGGATATTTTGAATTTTTGCCTTTTAATTTTAAAAGCAAATTCCAGAGCTTTGGACTTGTGAACAGAGTTTCCAAGCACTGTGGAGCTGTGGGAAGTTGTCATTTCTCTAACAGTTCATGTAAGTGGTACTATCGGTGGATTTAGATTCATGGCATCAGCCAAGTGTAGGTTTGCTGTGTCTATATTGCCCATTAGCTTTGTTTTAGTGATAGTGGGTAGTTTATGTGCTCCGTGATATATGAGTAATCAACAGTAATGATCTGTCTTACAATAAGGAAAAAATACAGCTACTTCCTCTTATAGTCTGAGAATCCACTGTGCATCCATCCTCCAACTTTCTACTGGTGTTTTCTCATGCATTTCTTCTTCAGGATTATATTTCCTGGCAAAAACTTTGATCTCGTTGGTGGCTTGGTTACATACTGTGTTTCCCCCAAGACATGTGGGTAGTGATTATTCATTGTGTTTGGTTTATGTTTTTGTGTTGTTTCTTTTAATTGTGTCTGTGTTCTAAATTGGCTTCTATGTACATGGGAGAAGGTCTGTCTGTTCTCAGAGTTCAAGTATGCCTCTGACTATAGTTGTGTGCTTTACACCAACCTCACCTTATTTTAGCAGCAGTATTATCCTTGTGTCAGGTGAAATATCTTCTAAGATTCCTAGCCAGACTTGCAAATTAATTTGTATTACTAAGAATAGTAAGTATTTTTCTCTCTGTATATATTATCTTGTCCTTCCAGTTTGAAACTAGTACCTAAGTTGGTATTCTTATTGTGAGTTTAAGTAATTTATTTTTTGATTCAATTTATATTGTATACAGAATGGAATGGAAACTCTTCTATCCTGAATGCTGAAACTTCTATATTCTGCAGTTGCATAAGAAAGATATAAATTCTGTCCCATAGATACCAGTTTAAATTTCCATATAGATTGTGAAAAAAAGCAATGAGAATATCGGTAAAATGTAAGACTGACAAGTGATTCCTAAAGCCTTTATTTTGGCTACAAATCCCTTGGAATCTCTTTCTCCTCCTCTGTCCTTTATAGTGTCAAGCAACCCTTTGTGATTGCTCTTCAACCCCTCTTTTTACTGGGTGGATTTTCTGTAATCACCTGTTGACCAGTGCTTGCTTAAAAAAAAAAAAAAAAAAAAAAAAAAGAAAAGTGGTTTGTAGTTCCTTTTATTTTTATCTGTGCTTTTGGGTGTGTTTCTGCACATACTTGGTTCACGTTAGATGATGTGCTGACTATTAAAGACCATTTCATAGTAGTCAAGACCAGAAAATGGCATGTCAACTTTGAAACAAAAAAACCCCACTTTTAAAATAGCGACAGGGGTGAAAATACCCAGTGACTGCAAGACTATTATAAACCCTTCGCCAGATGTTTGCATCAAACACTGGAATTGTAGCATAGCTCAGAATATTTTCATACAAGGAAATTAATATTTGTCTATATTTTTCACCGTTATTTTGCCACCTCAAACGGTTAGGTATTTCTGTAGTCATGCTAACTGTAGGGAGGGGGCATGTTTAGCTAGTAAACTTGGCTCTGTGAGGAAACATCATTGTTTTTGTCAGTTCAAATTGTCTGGATAAGGGAATTAAATATGCAACAGTCATGATTTATTTTACCAACTATAATGGTCTGCATGACAATGCTGCAGTATCAGCAAGGAACAGAAGCTCATCTGAATTCTCAGAGTGGAGGGAGCAAACGTGTGGTGGACATGGAAACATCCTACTGTGATGCTAGAGTGCTATTTATGAACATACACATCTTTAGATGAAATATATAGAAATTTATTTGTCTTGGAAGGGGGAGATTTGAAGCATATATACTAGTACCTAATTTCTCCAAGTCCTTGTCTCAGCCTAATTCATTTTAAGCAGCTCCCTGAAGTATGTCCACTTTTCTGCATACCTGTTTTGTTGAAAGTACACAGACCTGGCACCATTGTGTTTGCCAGGTGTTCTCTTATCTCCTGCAAGCATTTAAACAAGTGTTCTATTGCTCCCTGAGTAATCCATGGGTGATCTTAACATTGAGCAAAAGTCAGAGCAGGATCTTATGTCATATTTCTTAGTGAAGGAGTAGACAGTCTCTGGAAGGAAGGGGAGGAGGTGGAGCAGGGAGAAGACAGCTACAACTCAGAATAAATAGTTGAAGGGTTGTGAGTGTGTTCATGTATGAAAACATTGCGTAAGCCTAAGAATTCTGAAATGTAGGGGTACTACAAACTGAATTTCATAATATATCCTGGTTTTAATAAAGCTGTATATAGGCTTTGACATATGTGTTTTCTTACAGTAGAGCTCTCAAACCAATCTAGACTTGATTTCTATTTGCATGTTAATTTTGGTCTCCAGTTCTATAAGGCAAATTTGGCATATTTTTAAACATGCAGATAGTACTATTGAGCAACAGGGGTTATAAAATACAACATGCTACAATACCTTGTTGAGAGGGAATCTTTAACCTATGTTGCAACAATTATTACACTCAGGAAAAAAAAAAAAAAAAAGTTTTAAAATATCCCAAATAATTACTAGCAGATTTTTGCATGCTTCCTCTCCCCCATAACAAAAAAAAACCCAAAACAAACCATGTTGCTTCCTGAACTGCTAACTGTTACATTGCCATTATCTTTCTGATTTTCTTATTGGATATACATATATCTAAAAGTATTATTTCTGAAAATTAAAGAATTTCCTAATTATTTTCTGCTTCAATCCTAAAATATAGCTTCATGCCTTGCTTAGAACAACAGTGTGGCCTGCTTAGTTCAATCAAGATCAACACTTTGTTTATAGTTTTCTTATACTGTAACTAAAAGTATGTCTCAGACCTGGAAAGGGGAAACATGATGAGTCCCAGACTCGGAGTGGTATCTCTAAATGCTTTAGAGCAATCGGAAACAAATGCCCTTGAATTATGTTGTCTGTAGTTTTTAGGTGTATACACAGAATTTCTCTGTGACGGTTAAGGACATGGATTTATAGGACACAAAGTAACATAATGCTGAGTTTCTATCACCGATCAATGTTGCAATTTCTAGATTAATCTTGCCGTGGGGATTATTCTACTTATCAGACAAGTGTGTGCACTTACAGACACACACACACACACACACATATGCAGCCCATTACAAAAAAAGACTACAAATTAATGAAGGGCAGAATGGGAGAAAACCTGTCATAGTGTGACAAAAATAATTACCATCACACACAATTTAATGCAACAATCTAAATTTCTTTCAAGATTTAGAATCTCAATGAAGAAAGCTGGATTTATCTGACTTTGAAATTATTAGTCAATTTGCTTGCAAAAATATGAGGAAGACTAAAAAATACCATTTAAAAAATAATTCTTTGTATTAACTGAGAATAATTTTTCAATAGTTTGCACAAATATTTCCTATGCCTCATGAAATATTCCTAATGTAATTGAGGAGCCAGGGTTGTGTTCCTGAAAGTGTGCCACTTTGATTTATTTTTGTCAAGGTTAGATAGATGGAAATCACTCTGTGCTGGCTTTTTGATGCTGAAAAAAATACAGTATGTGTGTGGTGCCAGAATTGGTTGGGAACAGGAAAGGCATATTTTGTATCTGTACTAAACCTGTCGGCTTAGTGCATAGAAGACTTGACCCTTGTCAGATGTCTTGAAGTTAACTGGCTGACTTACAGATTAATCAGTTTAAGACTGAAGCCAACCAGTGACAGGAATGAGCTTTGTTGTGTGAGTGTGTGTGTGGCTGTGGTGCAGATTTACAAATTTTTATAATGCTTTCAGTTGGACCATGAAAGTCTGATGTAAAGCTTATCTCTGATCTCTGGCTATGGCCATACTCATGGGATTGTGTTTGTGTATTTGGGGGGAGGGAGATGAATTCTTTAACACTCAACACCTGGCTTTAACAGCTTTCTAACCCATAGTTTTAGGAATGGCAGTATTCAAGGCATTAATGAAGTTAAAACTCTTAAGCTGTATAACCAGTAGGTCATAAAAACTATTGCTGCGTATTGTGCTCAGTCTTTCTTTCACAGCTGGATTATCATCCTGGCAACTAATTCTTTTTTGTTGTTTTGTTGGGTTTTTTTTATAGCTGTTGTGAACTTGGACAACTCTGTGGTTGACCTAGAGACCCTTCAAGCCCTATATGAGAATGTGAGTATTCAGAGGAAGTCCATATAATGTAGGAATACTGTAGGTCCATATGAAAGTATCTTTGGTTTGAATCAGTAGTATTTGGAAAGCTTATAGAACATGTTCTATTTTGAAGTGACTTCATTTTCCTCAAAGCAATGAAAATAATGATAAGCATTTGAATTGTATTAATGGCCATTTTGTGTTTTACATAATACATACATTTTTATATAAATAACATAATTTTTTAAATGACTAAACAGAATTTGGTTTTGCTTCTTTTTTTCTTCCTGGGTGGGGCAATCTTTGGCCAATAGGTATCAGACTTTGCACTTCAGGTCTTTGGCTTCACTTTGTAACTTTACTAATATAAAAGTGCTGTTCAATTAAAAAAAAAAAATAATAACAGCAATCATTCCATCTGTAGAACTGTAGCTTTTAATTATTATTTTTCAAGGATTTCTCCAAAATAATTATAACTCCTTGAAATTAAAGTTTGCTCTAAATTAATGTAATAAAAAGTAGTATAACTTCCAGGTGCTTCAGAAATGTCTGATAATAATCATGAGAGAGTGTTTGACCACTAGGCATGCAAAATCAGAGATTTAGAATATACTCAGCCATTTTCTAAAATGTTACAAAGCCAGCCACATGTAAAATTCAAAAAAGTATATCTCAGAAGCATGTTTCTGCCTTCAGCTGAGACCAGTGAACATTACCCCCTTCTACAAGTACATTGTCTGAATACACAGAGGACTGGCTAGGCATCTCTGGAAAGAACAAAGAGGCCTTCTATTTATCCTCCTAAGAACCTGAAAATCTGAAATGTAATGTTGTGAGCCATTGAATGGCATTGAGGGCCAATATATGCTTTTGTATTGTATTTTTTTTCTCCCTCCCATTATAATTTTGCTAAGATGTTAATTACTTTTGCACCTTTCATATTTTTGGGTTTTAGACTCTGTGGTTTTAGGCCTACTTTGGAATGATTCATAGATTTATGAGATTTCTCATAAATAATCCACTTTGGGACCTGAAGAAAGAGAAAGTAAGCTCTAGTCCACTTTATAGAAAAACCGAAAAAGGAAAACAAAATGAAAACTAAAAATCTGACAAGAACTAGGAATCATTTCTACACTTATTTCATCCCTAAATAACTAAATCATTCAACACTGCTCAAGAAGATAATGGATGATTGGGAAACTTATTCTAACTATCCTCAAATCTTTATACTTCTAACACTTCTCATACTTTTACCACAATATTTCTGATTTGGCTTGCATTATTTTTATTTTTCATTATTTTTAATCCGCTCCCTTACACAGCACACCTATATCCCATTCCATGTATTCTTTATCATGTAAAAAACTGAAGTAATGCATGATTGCAAGAAACTGTGTTGTGGGAAGTATGGAATAGATACTGTCCTCATAATCAGTTTTTGCACACTTCCCTCTTTTATATTGAATAAGACTATTTTATTTTGGTTTAAAAAAAAATAGTCCTCCTATGTGGCTAATATGCTAATAGGATACTTTTCAAATGCTTTCTTAATGTCATTTCTGAAATACTGCATAGTTCTAGTATAATGAATTACCTGCAAATTTGCAGTTAATTGAAATAACCAAATGCCATTGTGTTCCTTTTCTCATTATCTTCACTAATTACAGAAAATATCTAAGAAATATTGTCTTGATTGAGGAAAAATATCGTATGTTAATCTCAGGAAAGACTCAAAAAATTGGAATGACTATAATATATTTCTTTGTTTTGAATAGATCAACCCAACTTTATTGCTATATTTGCTTGGGTGCAAGATGGAAAAAAAAAAAAAAAAAAAGAAAAAGAAAACCAACCAAAAAAAACAAAGAATGAAAAAACCCCCAGTTTATTTGGAGAGAGCTTCATAAGGGAACTTGAATTTTAACCTTGGATCTTCTGTTTGATAAAGCTGTGTCTTGAAAGAAGCATTTTTTAAATTGAATTTTATTTTCTGTTTTTACTTTCAGTCTTTGCTCAAAACACATCAGACCTTGCACTTGCTTCCCTTAGTAGCTTCACTAATTATAACAATATTTTCAGTAAAAAAGTGTAAGCAAGGGGTGGTATTAGACAACCTGGTATGTTTGACTCCTCCCATATTTCTCAGCCTCATCTTGTGTTGTAAGTGGGGATAACTTTGCCTCATTCAGCTACTTTGCAGCCGTTAACTTAATTTTCTGTTCTTAGGGTGTATTCATTTGATTGGGATTTTTTTTTGCTGGATATTTAAATACCACTGTACTAGTTCTCAGCCTTTCTATTTGATCTCTATGGAACATATGGGAGCATTTGTTTTACAGTCTTCCTTCAGAATGTTGTAATTTTTTTCTGATTGCATATGTCTGGTGTGGTGCTTTCCCTTCTTAAATGTGGATGAAATTTGAGCAGTCTCCAAACCTAAACACACCCTAATTTCAAAAGCCACACTCCCGAGGGCTCAATTCCTGTTTACTGAGGAATTAAAAGTCTTGTTAAACCACAACGTTACTGTATACATCTTAGTGACTTTTTATAAATGAAGAAACCCACACCCCACCAAAGACCCAAGTTCTCAGTAATTTTATTTAATAGTATTAAGCAGTATTGCATCAAGTGAGGACTTTGTTACTGCAGCACTGTATGGTACAGTCGCATAGTTCTTACGCATGGTTGTGTAGCTTGTTTTATAAAAAGTAATTTAAATAAGTTTGATAATCAGCTATGTTTTAATATCTAGACAGTTTTAAAAGGAGAGTCTTAATAGGTAAAACTACATGTGGAACACTTTAATGTGCTTTTACAAACTCCCTAAGAGCAATGCGTTCTGGTGGCAGCTATAATTAGAGATGGAGAAGGTAGAAAAAATTCCGAGGATCTGTCAATTTGCTGTACATGTTTAGGCCATATTTGTTGCAACAAGAAGTTTATTTGCAAATAACTGAATGTTTGCTTTGAAAACAGGTAGCTTCTTAGCAGCTGAGATTGTAGCTAAAATAAGTTTGAAACAAGATAAGCCTGCTTCTGTCTTCACTATATTGTGAAAATAAGTGTATAAAAAATGGATTAAAAATTGTATCAAAGGATTATCTTTGGTCTATGGGTTTGCCCTTTTCAAATCTCTATACATCACAAAATCAAACATGTATACTTTCTTAATTTGACTCCTGGTAAATTGTCCACCCTGTGTCTGTCTTTAAAAGACTTGGGTCAATGCTTTCAAAAACCTCAAAATGCCATTAGCAAGAGCAAAAGTCTGAAGTGCATGCCTCTGCTTTGCCACTGAGATTCAAAACTTCTCCCCAGTTATTTCTTGTGATTTTTAAAAAAAAAAAAAAAAACCTGGCAGTTACAACATGATGTCTTAACAGTTTTCTGCAAAGATTATAGATTGTACCCGAATTCTGATATATGACCCAGTTTCAAAGGAATATGATAGTTGTTATTAACCTGGGTATTTCTGTATATCCTTATTGTTTCAGTTACTTTTGACAACATTCTTCAGACAAGTCACTCAGTGCTTTAGAAATACGTAACATTAACTTTGAAAATCAAGTTGACCAAAAAAAATACACCCCAAAATTAAAAAACCTCCGCACATTTAAGCTAGTTTAAACTCAGAGCTAAGGTTCTGTCGCAAGGAAAAAGTAACAGGAAATGTAAGATTTATGTTGTGAAATGGAAAAATGGCCCTTACCCTGTATTTGGTCTTACCAAGTTCATAAGTTTATACCCTGACAAAAGTGGGAAAAGTTAAACTAAAGCAGTTTAATTTGTGCAGTAATTTCTGAGATTAATGCTGCCTCATTTTAGATAGAGTTAATATCAAAGTCCGGCATATTACACAATTTTGTTCCATTTATGATGCCATATAATAGCTAAAATGCAAGGAAATAGATATCGGTGACATTCAAATATATGCTAATACAAATAGATTAATGACTTTTATGAGATGTATCTGCTGAATGTGTTCTTTCTTGACACAAATGTTGGAGGGTAATATAAAGGCTTTTTTAAATTATCCATCTGCAAATTAGAGAATACATAAACAACTCTAAAGCTGACTGGTAAAATATCAGAGAAATAATCTTCAGTAATGCCTGAGCAGAAGGCATATCAGCCTTATTCCTTTTCTATCATAATTTAAAATACACATAAATCAGAATTCTGGATACTAGATCCAAAATTAGGGACTTTAAACTCTGTTTTGATTCAGATTTGCACCGTATAATTAGACCTCATGATTCTGGTGAAGATTTAAAACCATATCTATTGAGTTTTGCTCAGGCCTACATGAGTAGATCACACTTTGCTGTTGTATCTGTGACAGTTGTTATTTCTTTGCATATGCAATCTAAGAATGATGGCCTAAATAAGGAATAGTGAGTCTGTCTAACCTTTACCTGTGGGATCTGCTGGAGAAACATTAAGAGCTTGAACATGCATGTATGTAATAGATCACTGTGATAAAGCACTCTAATACTTCACTATGTGTAGAAGAATTTGCAAATAACTATTTAGCTTTACACTCCTTGCTAAAATATTTTCTCCTCTTTAACTAGTATGAAAAATTTTCAAGTTATTTCCTTTCAGTTTACCAGGAGAGAATATACTCTAGAGATTGGTCAGAAATAATAGAACTTCATTTAAAAACTGTTAGTACAAAAACTTGTTTACTTTTACAAAAAACTCATTTACAGTTTATGGGCACATATTGAATACATAAGTTTTTTTGAAGTGTAAGTTCAATAAATAAAACGGATCTTCCTACAAAGACATGTCATTTGCATACCTAGACCTCATGGCTCTGATGATGTGACCACTAGAACAACGCTACCTCTCTTGGCATCCTTCTGATTTCTAAAATCTGTAGATTTCATCCATTGCCAAGAGAGTTTTTACTGATTTGAAAATAAATTGAAGCTTTCTTTTTCTTATAACTCTCCATTGGGTAAGAATATTCTAGATGAAGTGAAGAAATCTCCCATTTATACCCGCTCCCTAACACAGAGCCAAAAGCAAGTCTTTCTCCTCAACAGCACCTGCAATACTTAAATGGAAACTTCTGCAGTTGCATCTTTCCTGGTCCTCATCCCATGTCTGGATAACTCTTCTAAGGTTAACAATTTTCTGATCTTAGTATCATGAAAAATTATTTCTCTTCAGGACAGAATTATACAAGCAAAGTTTACTACTGTAATTATATTTGTATGTACTATGCTTGCCTTGACAGAAATTTTACATAGAAAAGTACCGAAGTTTGTTTTCTCACACAGAAGTGATACTGGGGTAGGGAACTTGGGAAACTCGGTGTTATGGATGGGCCACTGCCAGTATATGAAAATTAAAAACTGGTAAATTAGTCTCAGTCCAGCCCTTGTTAACTGAGCAAGGCATGATACAGTATACACAGATAGATCAAGGAAGGATCAAGCAAGTCAAGGGAAGTGATTATTCTCCTCTTCTCAGCACTGGTGAGACTACATCTAGGGTGCTGTGTCCAGTTCTGGCTTCCCCAGTGCGAGAGACATGAACATATTGGAGTGAGTCTAGTGAAGGGCCACAACAACAGTTAAAGGCTTGGAGAATGTACTGTAAAAGAAGAGGCTGAGAGAACTGGGGTTCTTTAGCCTGGAGAAGAGAAAGCTCAAGGGAATCCTATCAATATGTACAGATATCTGACTGTGGAAGAGGAGTAAAGGACACAGGTCTAGACTCTCAGTGATGCCCAGTGTAAAGACAAGATGTAGTTGGCCCCTTGGAATTTCAAATATATCCCCTTGAATATATTTGAAATTCCACTTAAAAATAGAAACACCTGTTTTTACTGCAAGGGTTTCTAAATACTGGAACAGGCTGCCTAGAGAGATCATGAGGTCTTCATCCTTGGAGATGTTCAAAACCTAGCTGGACACAGTACTGACCAACCTTCTCTGGCTGCCTCTGCTTTGTACCAGCAGGTTTGACCAGATGATCTCCAGAGGTCCCTTCAAACCTCAACTGTTCTATTAATCTGTGATGCAGATACTACAACTATTTTATTTTTTTTAGTGGCGAGAAAGAAGTTTATTGCTGGAGAAAAAAAGAAAGTTGTTGTTTGCAATATTTCCTATTGGAGTATTTAATAGATAAGATCAGTCTACTTTAGAGAAGATGACCCTTGAAGGACATCCACAGAAATGCTGGCTAAATACTGGGATATGTAGTATTCAAGACAGATGGCCTTGCAGTAATTTCCAGACTTCTTGAAGTAATCAGAGAAACTCTGAAGTGCTTTTGCTCTGAGTGAATCTTCAGACTCTTCATCTTCCTGTTTCATGTCAGTATCTTCTCCCTTTTCACGTGGAAAGTTGTTCAACAATCTCAGAAGAACTGTCCAAACCTAACTTTCTCTTTTCAGATTGCTGATGTAGCTATGGCAGTATGATTTGAGATAGTTCCATACCTCTTCTGCTAATCATGCAAAAGCATGCAAGAAAGAATGCAAATGCAGCCTATCTTTTGCTTTGGCACTATTTAAGTAGTTAGAATTTAATTTTCCACTGTTGTGTTCAAGTTCTGTGGTGGAGTAAGTTAAAAAATGTGTGTAGTGTTTTCTTAAAGGAATAAAGGTAGATATATTTACTTCCTTTTTTACTCTTGCACAGATTCATGTTTTGAATCTATTTTGAAAACCACCATGGATGTCAAAAGAAGGGTCAGAAGAAGAAATTTCCATTCCACTTTTATTCCTTTCCATGCCATTCCATTTTCCAGTACTGCAGCTGGAAAAAATAATTTTGCTGTAGCATGGAGCACGGAAAGAAGTGAGGCTCTGTTTCTTTTGATTGGAATATTGAAGAAAAGACCGCACAATGTACCCCAGGGTTCTCCAAGAAACTAGGCAGTTTACATGTAATTGTTTTGGCTTATTAAGATAAAAATTAAAAAAAAAATCACTCCAAAGTAGTATGCAGTAGATCTGTATTGTGGTATGTATGATAGTTCCATTATAAATCAACTATTTTTGTTGTTCCATAGTGTTTTCCAAATACCAAATTTAAATTACAGTAAATAAGACAAACCTATTTAGTTTTAATTTAGTTTAAAAAATTAATTATTTAAGTATAGATTTGAAGTTCAGATTGCATTGAAATGCCACCCAACACATTTGGAAAGAGAAATACAAGTCAAAAAGAGAGTTCTTTGATCCATAGACTTTATAAACAGCCAAAGAAAAGGGAGTGGGAATGAATATTATTGTCTCAGTGCATGGTTGAATTAACAAATCTTTTGCAGGTTACTAGTAGTCAATAATATTTGGAAGATGTTCTGTTTTCCATCAGATGTATTTCTACTTAAAATCACTCTATGGACTAAGTAGTTTTACCATAAGCAGATGCTAGAAGGAAAAGAAAAATCTATGAACATGTTTTGTTAGAAGGGCATCTTTATCTGTGTTGTTTGTATAGGTTATTAATTAACACTTTTTAATTACTTTGTTTCCTTTATTCCAGAGAGCACAATCAGATGAATTAGAAAAAATAGAAAAGCATAGCAAGGCATCCAAGGAAAAAGAAAACGCCAAGTCTTTGGATAAGCCAGAACAGTAAGAACATACTTATGAAAGAACAGTTTTGCTCACTTCAGAAAACTTTCTGTGCTATAGTAAACTATCTAGAGATGTTATAAAAGAAAAAAACTACTGTACCTACTGACCTTGACCCATATCATTTTCTTTAATGACTCCTACAGGTTCCTCTATGAGCTCTCACTAATTCCCAACTTTTCAGAACGTGTGTTTTGCATCCTGTTCCAGTCAACATTTTCAGAGAGCATTTGTTCAATTCGTCGCAAACTTGAATTGTTACAGAAACTGTGTGAGGTAGGATGTGCTCTGTGAAAAGGTAGAGCTAAATTTCTGATATTTAATCTTGTTAAGTTGTACTCATATTTCAAAAGTTTTCTCTTTATTTACTTTAAGTACTCATTAAATCTGAAGGATAGCAGAATAGAACGTTTTATGATTGTACTTCAACATCAAAGCAAATCTTAAGATTAGCTTCTGGTACTGAATGATATCGTGTTTTTGCCATCAATGCATATCAGTATCTGGAAAATAGTGTACCTTCTCCTTCTGTTAAATCAAAATCTTCCTTCTTCATAGTGACCATATGACTCCTTTCCAAATGAGGGCCAGTTTGGTCTACCTTGTGTTTGCTCGGACTTCAAAAGTGCACAACTCTGTTGTATTTCTGATATCTAAAATCAGTTAGAGATAGCAATGTTGTCTCTAGCTAGGAGATATTACTGGATTTTTGTGCTCCCATGCAAAACAAAGGCATGGCTTTGAAATGCAGGTTTCATCAGTATTTTCATAATTGAAAAAATATTAGAAATATTTTATTTAATTGTTTTACCATTTAATAAATATTTGAATTTGATTGAATAAATGTTTTTGCTGTTCCATGTGAATTTTTTATGCACTTATTACAGAATTCTCTACTAAATTAAGTATAACATTCACCATATCAACATCAGTTAAGGAATTAGTATTTTGTTTTTCTCAACAGGTCATCTCTGATAATATTGTATAGATTTCCTATTATTTTTTTCTATGTATTCGTTTTGGAGATAATGTTCTCCATTCACAACAAATTACATAGTGATATTTTTCTATTTCTACAAGTTGCAATATAAGGTTGTTAATTCCCTATATTTGAGCCTTCATATAAGTATTATTTCTAAAAACAGTATCAGCAGGAGTTTGTCAGCAATACTATTAATAGTAAATATTATTGTGAGTTTTAACAGAGAATTGTTCCTCTTTCTGTTTTGTAGTCATTGAAAAATGGGTCAGGAGTTATGCAGGTCCTGGGTTTGGTTCTTGCCTTTGGAAATTACATGAATGGTGGAAACAGGACACGAGGACAGGCTGATGGGTTTGGACTAGATATCCTGCCAAAACTGAAAGATGTCAAGAGCAGTGTAAGTTGATTCTAGACTTCATGTAGGCCTGAGAATATTAAATTCTCAGAAAATTACTCTATCTACATTTCCACGTAAATGGTGTGAAACTTATGAAGGCATGTCAAAGGGAATTCTTTTGTTACTATACTAAGCTGATCACACTTCTAGAGTTGTATGTATTTATGTAGAAATACAAAGATGAGCTGTCTCTTTTTATTACTGTACAAACAAAAAGATAGTAAATTATGTCTTAGTTCCTAATCTGATATGTATTTTACTTCTGGTACACTGCATAGTTCTAACTCTTCTTTTACAACTGCTTCCACTTCTGAAACAAACCTTTTAAGTGTAAGGGTCATAGTATTGCTTCTGAATACAGGAAAAGTGAACTGTGATTCGATGCCGATTGAAAATATTTGTGAGGAAAAAAAAATAGACACTCCTGAAAATGATTGAATAGACATCCTGAGCATTTGAGATAACCTGAAACTCATCCTTTATATACATCATGATTATAAAGTGTACATTTCACATTGGACCACGGATTCATCTGAGTAAAGAATAATCACAGCAAGTATTTGCTGATTTAAGATTTGCCGGGTATAGTTATCTGTTTAGGAGAAAGATAAGTAATCTTGTTTCTTGCACAGTGCTAAACTGGAGCTTGTGTGTTACTGGCACTTTTTTGGTATTGATTATTCTGATTGGGGTTGTACTCAAATATTTGCTGGTGTTTACAGGGAAACAATAATATTTGAGTCTCTACGCCTATGATGAAAAGACTCTTCTGAATATAGACAGTGGTATGAGAAAAGTTATAGCAATAATTCTTGAGATTTTAAATGGCCCACTTCTATCTAGTGAGTCATTGTGAAGATCTGCTATTCTGAAAGTGCCAGAAAAAGAAGAGTTTGTTTTCCTGCTTGGTCACTCACTAAATATATATGCTTTCGCTGATGGGTTAGGTAATGTGAGCAGACTGTTGTTTACCCTGAGTTGAGAGACCATGTCAGCCATTTGCCTTTAAAGAGGTGCAGGAACTTCATTCTGGCATGCTTGTTTCCTTGGTTAGCCAAGGAGTGATGATGTGAATGAAGCCTTGGTACAATATGTTTAGGGCAGCTTACTTTAACTGAACCTTCTGGTTGACCCTAGATACATTACCAGTTTTAGAACTTGAGTCAGTAAAACATTTAGGCACACTAAATTTGGTTTGGTGACTTAGGTCTTTAGTACATCATTTCCTGGGAATATTATGACCATTAACCTTGCAATTGCAAGATACATCTGCAGTTTATTTGCTACTGATCAGTCAGAAAAATTCTGGAAAAATATTCAAAATAGTTTTCTGAAGCTGTCTCAAAATGTAATTCTCTCAAAAATCCTCTTAAAATCAAAGATGTTCTGCTGAAGTTTCATTACAGAGAGGACACAATGAGAAAGCTCCCCCAAAGATCCCCAAAAGTATTTTCATTTAGGACAAGAACTTTATTTGTTTAATTTAACTTTGTTTTGGTTATAGTTACAGATTAATAAAAAGATCTGAATGTTACCTTGGGAAATTTTGAAATGTAAGGGTTCAGTTTACAATCGAGTACATTTCAAAAACCAAGAGTGGCCTACATAAGTGTTATATCTTTCTATTATTTTCTTTAAATAATATTTCAGAGATGTTTGGTTTTGGTTTTTTTTGTGAAGGCAGAAAATCGGCAAATATTTCCTGTACTTGACACTAAATATTTAATTTACTTGAATTGTCATTTCTGAATTTTTTTTTTTCAGTGAGTTTCAGTAACACAGCAAACTTTATTCTCGTCTATACAGGATAACAGCAGAAGTCTTCTGTCTTACATTGTCTCATACTATTTGCGTAATTTTGATGAGGTGAGTGAGAATTAATTCTGCTCTTTTAAAATCAAGTTAAAAAATCAGCTCACTAAATTCACTCGTTTGCTGGCCAAAATGAGGAAACGTGCACAAATATTCTTTGTACTTTCGGTTATATATTTTATTAATGAGTACTATGTAACTGTTCATTTGTGTTTTTGTCAGGATGCTGGAAAAGAACAATGCATCTTTCCTCTTCCAGACCCACAAGATCTCTTCCAGGTTTCGCAAATGAAGTTTGAAGACTTTCAAAAAGATCTCCGCAAAATGAAGAAAGATTTGCGAGGTACTGAATCTAGATTAGGTGCTAACTATATGTTACCAACATATCCCTGCTCTTATTTTTTGTATAATTTTGAGAAATTAGATAATAGTATAAATATAGTTGTGTATTTTTGCCTGCTCAATTACTTTTTTGTTTCTTAATTTGCTTTTTTGTGACTATTTAAACAATAATTAATTATTTTCTGTAGATAACCTGGAAAAGGTTATTAAAATAAACAACATCAAACCAGTTAGGTTAACTGTTTTTTGAAACAAAACAGTTAATTTTTTTTCCCAAACTGATTTCAACAAGTCTTCACCATAAAAAGAATTGCAAAGTGTTGAACCATGTCCATGACAAATAAAGGTTGATAATCAGGTCCAAATACTATCTAGCAGATAAAATAATATATATGGCATGTTGTTAGAAATAGTTGAAGTAACCTGACTTTACTAAAATATAATATGCAAAGAATGTTTGGGTTTTTTTCCTCATGCTTGTGGAATGACTTCTTTAAATGAACTCAACAAGCTTAAAATAAGATGTATTTGCTAGACTTTAATAAAGAGCATGTATCATGTATCATACATTTTTTTAATAACATTGGGAACTAAGCACTAACTTTAAGTTAACTTTAAGTTAAGCAAGGCTATAGTTTGCACAAATTATAGATAATATCCATGATCTTCAATATTTTTGCTAGACTGGCCAAGTATGTACCATTATGCTAAATCTTGGAGGGAAGAAATCAAATCAAGCAATGAAATGAACTTTATATTTCTTTGTTTCTGTTGCCTTTCTGATTTTAGATGCTATACATCTAGAGACCAAGGAATAATTTGGTAAACAATTAGTCCCTGAACAACTTAGAATGGAAGATTCTCTATTAAAAGAAAAACATAGCATGGTTACCAAATTATATCTGATCTTCCCATCTTGCCCCTATTAAGTTTTCTGTTTAGATTTTTCAAAATTTATTTTAAACATTCGGAGGTAATATTTAAAGTTCTATCAAGGTCATTTAGTGTGATACTGAGGAGCAAACAGCAGCACCATCCATTTGCTGTCCTGAACAATCTAGGGGGCAAAAATACCACAGTTCAGCAACAAAAATTTATTTCTATCCTTCTTGCCACTTTCAGATTATCTGAGGGCTGATCTCCAAGCTTGCACATAGAGAAGAAATATGCTTAGGTTTGATTGAAAAAAAATACTTGAATTCAGGTACATGTTTACAAATGTTAATGGGGGCAGACATTATCCCTTGCAAGTTCACCAAAAATGTGTTTATATAGGCAAAAGGTTAAATTTTTTTAGATCAAGGTTGAAATTTGCACACAGGCATAAATCTCTTATGGAATAAATCCACACTGTGTAGTGATCAAAGCACAGTTCTGTAAAAATGGAAATTACACGCTTTGCTCTGCCATCAGACTGCAGTTGAATTCTTTCTGTGCTTCCAGTCCAGCCCTTAGGCTGGAGCCTCTGTTGTCAGTCTTTTCTGCAGTTAATGAAACTGAAGAATAAGTGCAGACACCATCACTCTGCCCCTTCCCTTTGGCACAAACTTTTTTTTGGGACAGCATCAACCCCTTCTGTATCCTCTTCTGGACATGAAGTGACAATTTTTATACCAGTCTGCGGTCTCATTCGTGACTTTCTTATCAGCACTGAGTGATGCAAAATGCTTTGCATTGTCTCTCTTTTCCAAAGAAAAGTGTCACCCTAAATTAAAAAAAAAAAGTGTTAAAAATTTTATGACTGCAAGAGCATTCACTAAAAATTCTGTGTATTCCAATAGCTTAATTGTTGTAATGCTTTCGGTGAGGCAGAGTAGCCAAGTCTAAGGCCAGTCTTTTAAATAGAGTGCAAGTTTTGGCTGAATGGATAAAATTACTTCAAAGTCGTTTTCCTCTGCATTTAGTTTAAGTACACTACCAGATTTGCTAATGTGCATCTGGAACCTTATGAGTTACTAGAGCTAGTAAGTGCCTCATTAAATGACTGAGCAGGAAGAAGGCTTTAAGATGCTGAGCAATTTCTGAGAAAATACTAAATATGATCCTCTCCTTTTGGAGTCAGTGAGAGCAAATGAGTTTTGAGTATTCCTGTGAAATACTGATTATCACCAACTTTAAAACCACAGAAATAGATGCCCATGAATGCATTCCAATTTTATACTGTGATGCAAACCGTAACTTTTCATCTATTTTCATCAGTAATTAGATGGAAGATTTCATGAGAGGATTTCACCATTGTAGGTGGGATGTGTGTGTTTGCTTTGTTCTTTACCACTGAAAAACTGAAAATTTCACGTAACATTGATGCAGGCAGTATCACCAGTTTAAAGATATTCTGTCCATGTTAGTTTCAAATACCTTGCAAACCATGCACAGTGAGTACAGTGGGGGAAGAGAGTATTGGTTCACCCAGGAACAAAAGCTTTTGAAGATATTTTATTCTGTCTTCTTAAGAAACTTTCCGTGATCATTATTCAAAAGTAAACTTAATTTCAGAAGGATCCTTTCATAAAATTATCAGAAGCCTTAAAAACCTGCAACAAAAACACAGTGTAGAGGAAGGTTATTATAAAAACATATATATTTTGTAACCATAACAATAGCAATTCATTCTAGCAATGCTGTATTCTTCCATCTAAATATGGCAGTAGCATACACAGAGACAGGCAGATATAAATAATCTTTATGGTTCTGTAAAATAATTTAGTTGTCATGCTCTTTTCACAGTTCTGAGCTTGGGCTTATGTTTGTATTAAAGGAGTTGCAATGATGATTGCTTTCAAAGAAAAAGCACTCATGATCTTCAAATCTTTATGCTTTCTTCCCTCTTGACTGTGGAGGCTCTATTTTTAAGTTTTTATGAAATGTATGCCTCACAGTTTGCCGCTGTTAGAAAAGAAAGACTCTTCTAAGATTTCAGATTAAAAGTGTAAATCCAAAAGGCTTTGAGAAAGCATTCTGTGTGCCTGTTCCAAGATTAATAAAACAGAAATTTACAATTTTTTAAATGAAAAAAAAAAAAAATCCCTTAAGATTATAGTGAAAGTTGCACTGACCACATAATATTGAACTGTTGAACTTGCAAATTGTTCAGTTTTGTTTTGGTTTTTTCTTTGTTTGTTGTTTGTTGTTGTGGGGTTTTTTTAAATAATACAGACTCTAGGGATAAAGTTTATATACTAGATTTTTTTATTTATTTTTTTTTTCTTAAAGACAGAAGACCAAAGAACAGGTAAGTCCTTTTACTAACAAACCAAGTGAGTTTGGCTCCATCTGTTGCTCCCAGATTTCACAGCTCTCCAGGATTCTCACTTTAGCCTTTTTGACTTCAGTGACATATAGTTTGTTAAGCAACTTGATCTGCTTTTGATCTCTCCTGGCTGTCAGCAACGTTCCTTGATGCAGTCATGCCAAGCAATGACTTCTGTTCCTATGTCATTCCACAGAAGAAACTTTAGCACTTGCCACATGACTTAAATCAACTCACCACGTAAAGAAAATTGGGCATCCAGGGTCACAAGAGCAGTGCATGGCTCTCACTGATTAGGACCTTTTTGTATTGTATATCTATTATTATCAGTATATTTTTCTAGACACTTCATGATGCTAAAGGAGGAGCAGAAAGATATGGAAAATGTGTATTGAATCAATTAATGTTTTAATCCTCTCTGCTCTGACACTTTCTGGAGGTACAATAATGGTTTAGTGAAATGTTGGATTTGTGGCCTGTGAAATTTTTCAAGACACATTTAGTTTAGGAAAGAACTAGGACACTAAAATGGCAGTAAGAGTTACAGTATTTAAAAAGCACTTATGGCAAGTTAAAACTGTTTAAAAGCTGTTCTTTGGCTACATGCTAACATTTTAGCTTTACAATAGTAAGTTTATTCTTGCAAATCAAAAACTAATTCATCAGTTGTCACTTACTGCAAAGCTTTAACTGAAGCTCAGCTAAAAGGGAATTAGAAACAATGTCAGGCAGAAAATAAATTTTACTAGTAGATTTTTGAAGATAATAATACCATATAATGCAGACTACTATAAAATCGAGCTGAAGTCAGTACTTGTTTATATGTCATGTTGTCATATTTAATATCTTTGATTGAAAACTGATTACAAGTAATAGTTATGATAACTAAATATTATTTTTGTAGTGATGCTTGCTTTTCCTACTGTGAGTGTTTACAACTCAATGAAAAGTCTCCATTGGTAAGAAGCTAGGTTGTGTGGCCCAGTACATCTCTGATTTGGAATAAATATGACTGAAAATGTTTATAAAGTATTAAGGATTTGCAGGACACTTTGTATTTTAAAAAGTATGTTCCAAGAAAAACCCCACAGTAACTTGGAAAAATACACATTCTCTATTTTTTCTGTACTTTTTACAGTCACCTAAAATTACCCATTCAGCTTGGATGTGCTTGTTGTAGAGCTGGTATGTGCTCTCAGGTTTAATACCTGCTGTGTAAATCAGGGCCTTGGAAGTACCCTATTGTGCAATAGAAAGACTTAAAAGTTGAATTTGGGATTCATGTCAATGTGGGACTGAGAGACAGGATAGTAGTAGGCATGTTAGGCTTTGACTCCTTACTATTTCTTTCTGACACAGTTTTCTATTTAGATTTTGACAAATCATTCCTGTTGCCTCAGTAATGGTTGCTCCTAACACCTAGAAAGAAGCCCGAACCCTAAGAGTGCAGTAGAGGTGTAGTTTGGGGTGAAATTTTCCTCTTCATGGCCACCTGTGTCTGGGGTGCATGGATTACTTTGCTGTTAGTTCTTTCATAGGTAATATTAAAGTTTGCAGGCTAAAATCCAAAAAAATGCACCATTCTATTTGCATGTCATCCTCTCTGTCTCACACACACATGTCCTCATATCTTTTCATATTCACAGAGTGCTCTGTTTCCATCACAGTTCTGATTATGGGGCTAAGTCTTTGGCAACGTTTCAGTGCCACTTCTTGATCAGGAAAAGGAGCAGTATTAATTTCAACTTCAA